GCCCCACCCCCACCCGCCCCGCCGTGTGCCCGCACGCCTCGCGACCCGCGCAGGACGGCAGGCGCGCGCCGAGCCCCTCAGGTTCCAGTCAGTCCGCCGACACCCAGGAGTCGGCCGGGGGCGGCTGGGCGCCCGGCGGCGTCCCCGGCGACGCCGTCGTGCGGGGCACGGCCAAGCAGCAGCAGCCGCCGCAGCAGCAACAGCAGCAGCAGCAGCAGCGGCTGCAAAGCGTGCTCAGCGTGGACAGCAGCATCGACGAGATCCTCGCCAGCGGCAGCGAGCAGTTGCCCGCGATGCCTGCGGACTACTTTTCGGCGGTGGATTTGGACCTGCAGCGGCTGATCCCGCTGGTCTGGACCGAACAGACCGAGGTTGCAGCCGCCAGTCCAGGGCTGGGCACGGGGCCCAGCAGCGGCGCAGCGCCCGCAGCGGCGCCGCACGTGGGGACGCTCAAGGGCAAGCGCGGGCCGCGGCCAGGCGCGGAGCGCGCGGCTGCGCCCCCGTCCGCGGAGCGCAGCGCCGCGGCAAGCGTCGCCGAGGCAGCAGCGGCGGCCGCCGCCGCGGCGGAGGCCGCGGCTGCGGCGGCAGCCAGGGCGGCGCTCGCGGGGCCCGCGGGCGGCCAGGGGCGCGCGCCGCGGATCGTTGTGAAGCTTCCTAAGGCCATGGCAGCCCGTGCGGGCGGCCCCGCCGCCGCGGGCGGTCTGGGCCCCGCAAACGCGGGCGTGCAGAAGCGCCTGACCCTGAAAGTTGGCGCAGGGACACCCATGCCGGGCGGCGCTTGGTGATGCATCTTGGTTGGGACCCATTGGCGCCAGCAGGCAGGCGGAAGGCAGGAGTCTTTCCCTGGATTCGACGGCCCCGCAAGTCCTTCGCCCGGGGCCCCTGCACTGCGCGGACGCGCCGCGTCTGGGTGGCGGCCCGCCCCCAGGATTTGAGGAGGCCTGGTGCGGCAGGCAGCGCTCAATCACTACCAAGACCCGCGCATTCATCAATGAACTGCACCCCATGCACCGCCGCCGGCCGCCCTTCGCATCACACTGGGCTAGGACTGGCGGCAGCCCGCCCTTTGATGGACACCTTTTGATGGCCCGGACCCCGCTTAGGGTCAACACTGGGGGTGTTGGTGGCACGCGGGGAACAACTCAGCAGGCTTGTGCGCCGGGCGCGACTGGCTAGAGCAGGACAGGGCCGCATGAGGCGGCCCAGGGTTCGCGCGCCGCCGCGCACGCACGAATGGCGGACTCAGGGCGCGTGTTGGGGAGTGCCCAGCCGCGCCCGCTGCAGCCCATGCGCACCAGCGTGGCGAAGCGGCGCGTTCGGCGGGCGCGGTGCGTCCAGGCCCCGCGCAGCGGTCGCCCTGCCGCGTTGGCGGGGGTCTGTTTATCCGCACAGGGATGCGATTGCCCAGCTGCAGGCATCCCCTCACAGCCTAGCGCCGTTTAGCCTGATGTTTTCACATTGGGTGCAGGGCCTGGGGCGGCTGCGCGGACGGAAAAAAGTCGCCGTCCTTGATGTCCTTAATTTGCCCAACAGTCGAGGCACACTTGATTTGGCAGGCGCGCCCATCCCGGTACAACGGGCGCCTTGCACCCCCCCCCCACACCTACATCACCACCACGCGCCCCCGGCGATCACGTTTGGGAGCCACCCGCTGCGGCGCGGGCGCACTCGCCCCCTGCACGCGCGCACCTCTGAGCCCCCTCACAATATGGGGCTTACACCAAATCATATTCTGGTGGATGTAGGCCGTCGCCTGGCGTCTTACGCCATGCCTCCCGCGCCGCCTGTCAGTGGTCCTGCGGCTGTGTCAGTTGATGGGCCCTCCAGGGGCAAAGTAGCCATGTCAAACCTCCCACAAGCGGTTTCAGCACATACGTCTTGCGCGGCTTGCTGACGAGGACGCCCTGTTTGCGACGACCGGTGCTGGATGCAGGTAGACAGGCCACACAAACACAGTACAATAGGTCAACAGCTTGCATTTTTGGGGCGCTCAGGGCTGCCTTCGGGATAACCCGACTCCTCCCTGTGGGTGGACAGAGGTTGCTGCGCCTAGGCGAGGTGCCAGCAGTGTGGCGCCTTTCTTGCTTCTTATCTTCGTCCGCGATGTAACCCATGTCAGGTCGTCGCAGCGGTACTTTGCAGGTGGAAATTGGACAGCCTCTAGGCCGAGCATGCCAGCAAAGCAGTGCAGGACTGTGGCCGCCGGCATCAAAATTGGCAGTCAAACAAGACGCATCGGTGCAGGCACCATTGACCGGTCCACCACGCAGCACAGCAAGGCCCGTCGTGTTGGCTGGGGCCGCTCCGCACTTCTTCTCAAGCCGAGACTCCTGGCATCTCACGCTCAACAATGCGACACAGCGCATTGGCAGCTTTGCGGGCAGCGCCGAAAACGGCATGGCGCAGGTGCTTCATTTCGGCGTCCACTGCGCATGCGTTCACCTTGTTCCTTCTCGGCGGTATACATAGTTGTCCCTGAACTCGGATGCAGGGCCTCACGAGCAGGCCCCGCGTGGGCAGCAGCTGTCAGCGCAAGGGCGCTGCGCCTAAGCCTTTGCTGTTGAGCAACAATGTAGCTGGACATTGCAGCCGGCGCTCGCGTTCCGCGGGGTCGTCCAGCGTCACGATTGCCCGCGTGCTGGCGGAGTTTCCGGCCGCCTCTGCTGGCGCAGAGGGTGTGTATGCGATAAATGAATTGACACAAAAGTTGACATTGCGCAATGGGCCGCACATCGGGATCCTGCGCGACGCTCATGATCTGGTCGTCGTGTTTGCCCATGTGCCTCTGTTGGCAACTGCAAAATTGAACCCGAGAGACATCACCGGAGTCCGAGTTGTTCTTAATGTGCTTCACGCCGTGACATTGCCCCATGGATGCCTCCCCTCCACAGGCGCGCCGAGCGCCGCTGCCGCCCCCGACCGCGCTTCCGCCGCCGCGCCCGCCCCCGGCGACGACGGCTTTGCCGCCTTCGCCGCCGCCGCCGCGACGGGCGCCAATGTCGTGCCCCTCTACCAGCGCATCTTCTCCGACCAGCTGTCGCCTGTGACGGCGTACCGCTGCCTGGTCAAAGAGAACGACATCGACGCGCCCAGCTTCCTATTGGAGTCAGTGGTCAACGGCGACCAGCAGGGGCGCTACTCGTTCGTGGGCGCCATGCCCTCGCTCGAGATTGTCGCGACGCGCAACAAGGTGACGGTGCTGAACCATGTGGCCGGGACGCGGCGGGAGACGCAGGAGGAGGACCCCATGCAGGTGAGAATGGCGCCACCCTTGTGGCGCCACTGGTTGGTAACTGGGTGACAGGGTTACAGCGTGACGCCAGACGGGGTGACAGGGTGACGCCAATCATTATGCTGATGCCAGAAGACATAGGTGTCCCTACTCGTGATGGCTTCGATTTTCGGCAGCCGCTTTTGGTTGGGATTGAACCCATGTCGCAGCAGTTCCAAAAGTTGGCCGGCCGCAACCTGGTTATAGCGGATTGACAGGGCCTCAAAAACGCCTCCGCGAGGGCCCCACGGCGCCCACTGGTGCAGCTGCCGTGGCGGCCGGTTGAGCTGCGGCTCAGGGGTTGCGGCCGCCGCGGCGGCAGGGGTTGCAAAGTCGCCGACAACTGCAGGGCGCGGGGGCGGCTTCGCAGCCGGCGAGCTGGCCGCCGGCCGCGCGCCCCAGGGGCGGCACCAGGCACCTCTGTGCACCGGCAGCACCCTCGCGGCTCCTGCAGCATCCACACGCAGATTCAGATTCAAATATGTGGCATCCCGCAGGTGGCCGTCCAGCTCAGCCGCAACTGGCGCCCGGCCAATGTTGAGGGCCTGCCTGAGGTGTTCACTGGCGGCTGGGTGGGGTATGCGGGCTACGACACCGTGAGATACGTGTACGCGGGTGAGATCCGCGGCTTTTGATGCCCTAGTGACGCCCGAGTGACGCCTGAGTGACGCCGGAGTGACGCCGAGTGACTGTGCAGACGGCGGACTCGAGAATCGTTTGGAGGGGAGCGCCGTGGGGCAGGCGGGTGCAGGGCAATGCCAATGCAAAGGAATGCGCGCGCCTGGGCGGCGTAGTCTGCGGCAGCGGCGCCGCCCGCAGCGGCGGCAGGGCGGGCTCGGCCGCCCCGCGCCAGGCGCGTTCAGGCGCAGCCTCACTGATGCCTCGGACCCGCCCCTCTTCTGGCCTTGCGTGCAGGGAAGATCCCTTTCGACGGGGCGCCCGAGGACGACAGGGGGCTGCCTGATCTGCACCTGGCGCTGTACAACGACGTGGTGGTCATCGACCAGGCCACCAAGGCGCGTGTTTGACCGGCCTTTGACCGGGCCGTTTGACCGACCGTTTGACCGGGCCGACCGACCGAGCCGCAGCTTCCCAGGCTGTGGATTTGGGCTGCTGGACCGCTGCTTGAAATCGTCCTCATGCTGGCGCCCGCACCTCCTGCCTCCCCAAACTGTTTATCATATTTGCAACCTCCGCAGCTCATCTACGCCATCTCCTGGGTGCACCTGGACGGCGACGGCAGCGGCGGCCCCTCCAGCAGCCAGCAGCAGCAGCAGCAGCAGCAGCGGGACCCCGCGTCGCTCCGCGCCGCGTACGACGCGGGGCGGCGGCGGCTGCACCATCTGGTGGACCTCCTGCGGTCGCCCCCCACACCGCTGAGTCATGGCGCGGTGGACATGTCGCTCGCGCAGCTGCCGGCCAGCCCGGGGCGCAGCAACATGCGGGAGGGGGGCTTCCTCAAGGCGGTGGAGGCGGCAAAGGAGTATATCTTGGTGAGGCGGGTGCTGCATCCGATTCTGTGCGTGAGACGGTTGATTGTGCGTGATACGGTTGCATGGCGCTTGGACACCATTTCCTCCTTGACAGCGGGCTGCCACCAAGCCGCGGCTTTGGGAGGCCGGCGCCCGCGCCAGGGGTGGCAGCGGGCGCCAGGCGCCCACTGTGGGCGACGGCGCACGGCGCGGGGGCGCGCTCGACTCCAAACCCCGCCCGGGTGACTGCGACTGCGGTCGCACCCTGGTCGAGTGCGCGCGCGCGCGTGCACGCGCGCACACACACACTCTCTCTCACCTAAACACACACACACACACAC